TAATTTTTTTTTTTTTTTTTTTTTTTTTTTTAACAGACAGTTAAATAACGTATTGTTCCGTCTTCTTATCCGTCCTGATCTTACTTGAATGATGTGAGGATTTTCGATCTTTGTAAGGATTTCGAGTTCACGAGGGAAGAACTTATCGAGGAAATCAAGCGGCGCTTTCTGTTTGTCGAATATCTTACAGGCTAATCGCAATTTTTTCGAGCTCGTCCCGTCCACGTATTCTGCCAGGTGTACGGTCGCGTACGAGCCCTAACATTTACAAAATTTGCCAGTTTGCCTTCGGGGATGATTATTCAATGGAATAAAACGAGTTCGAGCTACAAGAACTAAAAAGTACAAAGAACGCGTAATGGCTGTACGAAAGAGGACGAGAACGCGAGAGCGTCCGAGACGACGTACAGAGTCTTCAAAAAGAAACAGAGGAGTGTAATGTTGTCGAATGAATGCGAGAAGCAAGCAGGTAGAGGGGAAGTGAAAGAGGTTAACGAGCAGGTGGGGAATACACAGGGTTGGAGGTAAATAACCTGTCCGATTTTTTTGCCAATAAGATAGCCCCGCTGCTCAAGAGCGTTCACCTCCGAATTTCGGGGGCTGAGTTGCGTGGCCATGCCAGTGGATCTTCATTGGACTTTGGATCCTGATAACAGATAACTGGTTCTTCCTCTTCCTCTTCTTCTTCGTTCACACACCTTTTCGTCCCTTCTCCGTTTTCTCGCACACAGAACTTACTGTTCTTGTATTCTGTATTCCGTGCGGCAAGTTTTTCCGACTTCTCTGTTCTTGACGCCTACCCGTATATACCTTCCTTGTACGTGATTCGACCAATTTTGTCGCCCGAGATGTTGCAGTTCGCGCTCCACAAGGAGCCGAAAGACGCCTCGCTGAATATCACGTCGATGAATCCGAGTCGGGGAATCGTTCTGTCATTTCAAATGGCTGTGTGCACTAGAATTTTGAGCGTCGACACCAGCTTGTACCTGGTACGGAACGGGGCTGAGGAAAAGATCCGTGTCTCATTCGAACACAGCCATTATATTCAAGAACAAATGAACGATCGATTCGCGAGCGCGAAGGTATCCTTTGTTTCTTACTTCGTTACGTACGTATTCGATTTGAAATAAATGAGTATTTGGATTTATTAATATTTTTTATTAAACGTTATTATACATTGCGTAAAAACGAGTTACGCAGCCGGATCGTCACCTTTAGTAGTACGCGTATAAATTAGTTGTGCATGATGTTGTACAACTTGTTTAATAAGTCCTTTTTGTTGCAATTCAATCAGTGCTCTCCTGGCAAGTGATCCACGAATCTTTAATCTTTCACTAACGATAGAAGGTGTGATCAATTTATACTGCGGTACTTCTTTTAGTAATTTTTCATATGTGCCTTTGTCAAACAATACTTGATTGTTTAACTTGTCACGTACTTTTCCTTTGGACCACTTCTACAAACAAAGAAAGGAAACGGAAAAAAATGTAAACATTTAATTGGTTCCAGTCTTTTAAATATACTTGTTAAAACCTTGTTAGTAATCAGGCTCATTAAATCAGGTTTTTACTTCCACTGTTTATCAAGATTATAAATATTCATCATCAAATATATTTTATGGATTAATCTATGATGTAAAACAATCGTCATACAAACCTTCTTTTTGGCTTTACCACCAGATCCACCCTCCTTTTTCTTTTGTGTTTTCTGTGGTTGTTTTGAAGACCCCTTGGTATCCTTCTTAGGCGGCTAAAATACAAAATAACATTAAATCAACTGTTCGTAACACAAATATAATGGAGTAACATTGGTTATCAATCAAGTTCATTGAATGAAGCATTATACTATCACAAATTAAATCAATGAGTTTTTTTCATTAAAATATTAATTCTCAATAATTATCTTTCGATAATTTTTCAATGTGTCAACAAAACATTAGGTCAATGATAGAGGTTAGAGTTACCATGTAAATGAAATCAAGATGAATTTCTATTTCTGTTTGTGCATAATAAGCACAAATTAATCTCGATTCTTTGAAGCTAACTAAAAGATACTTTAAATGAATAGAATAGTATTAAAATAAAATATTTCGTTTGCATTGTATACACCATGTGGATGAAATTGTTTAGTCGTCAAGTCTATAAGCTTATCTTAATCGAACGTGAAATTTGTATGAAACTTTTTGAATCAATTATTAAAATAATAACATTGCACTACATAGAAAAAATCCGATGAAATTATTTTATGTAATTATTAAACATAAAACCTCTTTCACAAGTACTCACCATGATGGCAGTCGACTCAGAAAGAAAAAGGAAATGCGTACATCGCCATCTTTAGTGCTTATGACATTCAATGCCATCTATTTTACTACGTTAGTTAATATTACTTTTAAAAAAAAATAGAATGTTTGAGAAACAGTGTAATGACGGGTAGGTAAATTAATTATTGAAATTAATTTTTTGTCGTAAAAAAATTTCTAAGACACGTCACACGATGTTACAAGTAATATCGAATTCAACTGTCAGTCACTCAGGAGTGGCTGTAACGTGTGAAGCATGGCGCCACGCTGTGTGTTTTTAAGCCCCGGTTTTTCACATTTTTGATACGTTCACAAAATGCATTTGCGCTAACAATATCTTTTGGTGTATTTTAGTCAACTACGGACATCTGTTTATATTTAGTTTTACACGGAAAGGTAATTTTTTCCTCTTTGAACATTACCGTGTGTAAGGTTAAGATACCTTTCACCATTGCGACGTGTCAATCGTGCTTTTATTCTATATATTTACTTAACATTAAGTGATTATATCGAGATAACTGACTTGTCGATAATGTGCTGATTAATTGTGAGCAAGATGTTTCATTTAAAAATTCGATTTTTAACATTGTTAATAGATGTCACGAACAGATAAGCTAAAGTGCCGTTACAGCTGTACTTATGTTTGTCCATACATTTCCAACATATTTTTAATCTTATCGTGCAAATGTTTTTTTCGAAGAACAAACTTTTTACTTAAATAGTTATGTTAAGATGTAAATACAGTTAATTAAAAGGTTTATTTGGAGAAATTATATTGCAGATAAATGGAATACAAGTTTAATTGACTGAAAAACGATATTTTTATTTTGTAGGATAAACTTCACTACTACAAACAAGCTTGTACCGGAGAAAATGCTTCCACTTTCGCACAAAGATTCAAAGAATCTTGGCAGCAGAATAAAGGAGCAGCTGTTGGGATGGAAACGTTTGATATTCTCGGACAAAAATACCAGGAATTTATTTTTGTTTCTTTTATTAAATTTATCCTTTGCCTGCATAGAATTGTTGTATGGAATATGGACAAACAGTTTGGGTTTAATATCAGATAGTTTTCACATGTTCTTTGATTGTACTGGTTTATTATTCGGTTTGGCTGCATCGGTTATAACGAAATGGAGGGCAAATGAAAGATATTCCTATGGCTATGTCAGAGCAGAAGTTTTGGGAGGATTCGTCAATGCCTTGCTTCTGTTCTTTATTGCTCTGTTCATTATGTCAGAAGCTGTGGAAAGATCTATTGAGCCTCCGGAGATAAAACACGAAAGACTTTTGGTCGTGTCCATTATGGGATTAATAGTTAATTTAGTAGGAATGTATGTATTCCGTCATGGACATGGACATGGACATGGCCATGGAATGGGACATGGTCATGGAATGGGACATGGTCATTCCCATTCTCATTCTCATGGAAGTCATGCGCATTCTCACTTGAACCACAGCGACGGCCATGATCATCATGATATCGAAATCGATCCCTCCTTCAGTGGTACAAATTCTCAGATCATGAAGGGAGTTTTCTTGCATATTTTGGCAGACACTCTTGGATCTGTAGGTGTAATTATATCAGCAGTGCTGATGCGTTTGTTCGGTTGGTTTATAGCTGATCCAATTTGTTCTATGCTGATCTCAGTATTGATAGTTCTAAGTGTGCTGTCTTTGATGAAAGACTCATGGGAGATATTGATGCAAAGACAACCAGCGGCGTTGGATTATATTCTACCACAATGTTACAACAAGGTGACACAATTGGCTGGGGTGTATAGTGTGCAAGAACCACATTTCTGGACCCTGTGCTCAGATGTGTACGTCGGTTGTTTGAAATTGGAAGTTGCTAGAACAGTAGAGCCTAAGTATGTCGTAGCACACACTCAAATGATTTTCCAAGCAGCCGGAGTAAGGCATTTAACTGTTCAGTTGGATTATGCACCTATGTGATCTATGAAAAGTACGCATGTCGTAAAGTGTTCTTATAAGTGTAACTCCAAGACTGTACTGATTTGTGGAGTTTGTCAAAAACAAGCAAGAAACATTGCACTCGTGCAAAATATTCTTGCCATTTTAAAATTGTGCAGATATCTTGTTCTAAGCAACAGTGAATATCACCTTGGGTTACAGATTATCTAGAAGATTTATCCAAGTTGAAAGAAAAGAGGAAAGAGCTACAAAAGCTTGCTACACAAGATATTGATATTTCGCCAGTTTCGTCAAGTTAGCGCATTTAGTGATTTGAATCTACCGCGAAAATCATCAATTTCATTTCCTTCTAATTCTATTGTAAATATAAATATTTGTTCATCTGTAGCTACCAATGATAAACCTTTCCATCAAGTTATAGCATATCTTTGTTTACAAGAACTTTATACAATTTGTCGGCCAAAGGTCGTACATAATATTTTATATTATCTATTGAAGTTTTTATATATGCATTTAAATGTATTTTGAAAGATCGAAGGTGCACTGGATTACGTCTTTTTAGCTTTACAAGGCCAAATTTGAGCCTATAAAAATGTTTTTACGTCGCCTTTGCTACCGCATTAATTTGTAATACAATTACTATTCAACTAAATTACTGATTCGATCATCATGGTCAATTGTGCGCAGTATAACGAATAAAAAGGAGGTCATATTCACACATAAAACGGTGGCCATAATCACATGCAGACAGCTGTAGACAGCTAGTCACTATTATACAGAAAGTGTGAAATATATGTTATATATAAATACAACTTTATAAAGTGTAATATAAATCAATAATTTTATGTTTAGACAAAGTTGTGCTTTCCTTATAATTTATCATACTTTTTGATGTACTGTCCGCGTTAAGTAGATTCATCCTATTGGTACTAAATATTCATAAACGCTTAACGCGCTCAGGATAAACCTTAGATTATCGTAATATACGAGCACATTTGTATTAAATGAATCCAATAGATAAATTGCAAGTAACATCAAAATACCCGTAATCGTGGATCATGGAGTTTCTTTAAACGTTGACAATGAAATTCTCTTCGCAAAGTTTCATTTAATCGCACGTGAACGAAATGGAACAACAGGCAATGCCATTATTTCGAAAAGCATGATCTTTCACATTTACATGACGTTTCATGTACACACAAAGGGTCAAGCATTTGTTCATCGTTTCCCTTGGTGTTTAAATACATCCTACGAAAAAGTGATTATCAAGTTAGAATTAACTTTTAGCAGATTTTTAAGCATAAATTGTAAGCACGACCAGGACATTCCATTGTAGTCGAAGTATATGATTTGTATACTTGAGATTGTGATGATGCGAGCCAAAATATAGATATCGATAGGACGAAATGAAACGTCGGTAGAAATTACCCAGAAATATTTAGTAATAACGTAGAGGAGAATTTTTTCTATCGAGTTTCTGTACCATTGTACACTGAAACGACCGAATTATTTGCAGTCCTATCCGATGAGATTACTTCTACGAAGAGCTATGTATGTAATTTCCCAGATGAAAGTCGACATTGTTACGTTTTATTAACACGATTGTATAAACGAAAAATCCGGAAGAGTACATCTTCGACGTCGGCAGCGTGTAAATAATAAAGAGAACTACTTATAACAACTCTTCGAGTATTTCGTTTTACGGTCCGTTTGTCCTTTCAGTGAGATATTTTTTTTTTTTTTTTTTTTTTTTGTAGAAGATTTAATCGGAAATTGATGCCAAGGGTTTTCAAACACATATTACATTTATTTGAAGGATATGTATACACATATAAATACATAAATATTTATAATAAAATGGCTGAAGCTGATTCCACACGATGGGAACGATGTTGAACGCGTCGAGTAACGCGCGTATGATGCCAGCTTCAGTCTTCTGCCGCCTTGAATTAGTTTAGTTTCCCTTAAAACGGCTTCGCCGAAATTTAACAGATCGGAACCTTCGGTAAGGATGCCCTTGCGTCTCGTGCGGTGTTTTTTATGTACATAACAAACTATCAAAAATGAAAAATTGTATGGAACTTGTCGTCCCTGCGAGGCTACAATTGCCTATCTAAATTGAACGATAAAAGAGAATCAAAAACTCTGGTACCTCGCTAACTTCTGGTGAATTGAAAGTCGAGTGAACACCGTGGAACTGCTTTTCGTACAAAGCTGAACTGAAGCCGATCGAGCTTACTCGTTGATTTTGTTTCGCGTTTGACTTTGTTTTCCATTATTATTGTTATTATTATTCTCTGTAAGGTGCATGGCAGTATCGCGTTCTTTTTATCTCGTAATTTAATTTCTGCTCGGGTGGTATTGGCAGAACAGATCGCAGAAAATCACATATTGCGCTCTCGAAATTCGGCGATCGGTGTCGCGCTTATTCTAAAAAATAACAGATTCGTGATACAATAGTCGCGATTAAACTCTCTAAAACATTACGATTTGGCAGTTGTATGTTGCACTTGTCCTTTATTGTTGTTTACTTGCAGAGATATACACATATATCATCATATTTTTTTTGGATGTACTCCTTTTCGTCTTTCATCCCCTTATTTTTACACAATGTAATAGCCATCGTTTTCTATTTAGCTATGTAATCGCATAATTCCGAAATCCGAGGACGCCTCTTTTCCCCCCAGTGGATACGTATTTATTTTCTTTCTACCCGCTACTATAGAATATAATTTATAAAATTTCTTCAAGTCTCCAACAACGCGCCATCCGGTAAAGCCATTTCACTCTTGGATAGTCGATTGCAATTCAATCGATCGTAACATTTAATAATCATGATCAGAATATACTAATGATCGTAGGAATAATAATAATAATAATCGTAGTAATGACAATAATAATAATAATAATATATTACTCTGAATGATATCTTACAGTCCATCTAAC